TCTCCAATAATAAATATTGAATATCATTTTGGCCCATAATGGCAAATATCGCATTTCAAACACATTACATGGCTTGCATATGTGGCGTATAAATGATATGAATAGCAAATTATAACTGATACGCTTCGAAGATTTTTGTTTTGTTAATGGCATGATTTATTTATTTGTTTGTTTGTTTATTTGTCTGACTCTACAACTGAAATTTTCATATAATAAAAACCAATTGAAATTAATTAATTTAACATATCTTATAATCATATATACCGCACATATGCCACCACGTACATACATACTAACGCACAAAGGTAACCACGTGCAATCTCTCTCTTCCATCACACACACACAAACATACTCACTCTGACTGTGCTACACCCAGATGTGCTGCGGAGTAATGGCAAGCCAATATTGTTGCTAATTAACTGTAATGCATATACATAACCTGCAGCGATGAGCGGCGGTTTTTAATATTACAAGTGAAATGTAAACAACATTTTTAAATTAAAATATTTATGAAATAGTTATTTCTTTGCATAAAATATTCTAATTAAAATTGAAAAATATATGTATATCAAATGGATGTATTAATTTATTTTAAAGGAATCAAATTTTAGAAATTAGATTGATATCTAGTCGATACAGGCTTAAAATAAATTATTAATTTTCCAATTTGAAAGACCATATTCGACAATGTTGTCTTCCACTTGGTATTTCCATCATATTCGTGGCCTTCCCTTTCTGTGTGAACCATCAGCTGGTTCTCTTTTATACGCCTACTGGGCTGGGGCATCTTCATCCATTCGCTGCAGCTCAATACGTCTAACAATGTCGATGTCTGAGAATAGCAGGAACAACTTATGGTTCATTCGATGGCGATATTCATCGTCAACGCAGATCGGCCCATAGATTTTTCGGAGAATTTTTCTTTAAAAAACTCCAAGAGCTGCCTCATCTGCTTGCGCAAGTACGCATGCTTCAGATCCATATAACAGCACGGGTAGTATCAGCGTCTTGTAGAGTGTGAGTTTGGTCTGGCGGGAGGTGGCCTTGCTTTTGAGTTGTTTGCTCAGACCATAGTAGCATCTGTTGGCCATCACTATCCTTCTCCGAATTTCAAAACTGATGTCATTCGTTTTGTTTATGGCGGCACCAAGATATATAAAATCGCTGACTCGAAGCTGTAGTTCTCAAGTTCCACAGTTGGTCCGAGTCTACTGGACGTGTTGCGCGTTGATACCATCAGCTTGGTCTTCTCCCCAAAGTGGGTCTGGCAGCCACTTTGGTAGACCCCTTCTCAAATTGTTCAAAGGTGGCTGTTACCGCTCTCAGTGTTCGACCCATTATGTTGATGTCATCGGCGTATCGATGTGTTTTTCGTGGGTTTTTTCTAAGATTTGGCGCAGAGTGAAAATCTGGTCAAATCAAGGGTGGATTTGACAGGTTTGAAGCCGCATTGGTATGACCCAATAATGTCATTGACCATTGGCTTCAGTCGTTCACACAGTACGCTGGATAGCACTTTATATGCTATGGGAATGAGACTTATTCCTCTATAGTTGGCAAATATCGTCTTGTTTCCTTTTTTGTGTACAGGACACAGGATGCTGAGGTTCCAATCATTGGGGATGCATTCTTCTAGCCAAATTGCACTAATCAGCTGGTACATGCTCCTTACCAACATCTGACCACCAGTCTTGAATAGTTCGGCTTGTAACCCATCGGCACCTGCTGCTTTATTATTCTTCAGCCGATTGATTGCTATTCTGACTTCGTCTTGGCTAGGTGGTATACACTCCATACCGTCATCTATTATTGGTTCTGGGGTATCCTCTTCATCGCTACTATTTGATACCAGAAGTTTTTCAAAATGCTCCTTCCAGATCCTCAGCACGCTGTCAGTATCTGTCACCAGGTTTCCTTCTTCATCTCTACATGAGGATGTACCTGCATCAAAGCCTTCGGTTTGGTGTTTTACCCGTAGGTAGAATTTTCGGACTTCATTCTGACTCCAGCACATCTCGATTTGCTCACGATAACGTTTTTTTGTTCTTTCTTTTTATTCTGAAAATACGTTTCTCCTCTCTCCTTTTCTCCACATAGTTCTCCATGTTGCTACGGACCGTAGGGTTACCCTATACGCTGCGTTTTCAATATCAGTAGCATTACGACACTTCTGATCGTACCACGGATGGTGGTGGTCTTTGGTGTTGATTTTGCTGCAGTTTCTATTGTCGGGACAAGGGGTGCTTTCGTCAAGCAGTTGGGTAAGTTGAGCAGAGTAGGCTTCTGCTATCGGATTTCTTGATGGTGGTCTTTGGTACCCAAGTGTTGCTTTTGCTGCAGTTTGCAGGGAGTGGACAATTCTCTGCCACTGTGCTTCTATTATCGGGACAAGGGGTGCTTTCGTCAAGCAGTTGGGTAAGTTGAGCAGAGTAGGCTTCTGCCTACGACGTCAAATTTCCGTGTTACATTAGATCGCACTTTTGGTGCTATATTAAGACGAGTGCGTACCTTGGCTGACACAAGGTAATGGTCCGAATCGATATTCGGTCCTCAGATCGGTCGAACGTCTACACTGGATGAATGCCTTCCGTCTATCACAACATGATCATATGATTTCTCGTTGCTTTATCAGGAGAAATCCGGGTGGCCTTGTGTATATCGAGATGCTTGAATCTGGTGCTTCTAACTATCATGTGTTTTGCTGCCGCGAAGTCAATCAACCTCATGCCGTTGTCTGATGTTTCTTCATGGAGACTGACTTTTCTGACGGCGGGGTCAAAGATATTTTCTCTTCCGATTTTTGCATTAAAATCTCTTTGCAGAATTTTATAGTCATGGCCAAGGCAACGGTCATATTCTGATTTTAGGCGCTCGTAAAAAATGTCTTTGGTCTGTTCATCTTTATCTTCGGTCGGAGCTTTTATACGGATTATAGTAATTCACTCATTTACTGAAATGAATCTGGAGAAGAGGACTTTTATTCACCTGTTAACCATTAATCCGCGGCCAAATTCATGTCTCTTTTCATGGCAGCTATAACACAGGGCGTAATCATCCGATTTATTTACGCCAGTCCCTTTCCATCGCATTTCCTGTAAGGCAATAATATCGGCTTTGTACTTCTTGAGTACATCCGCCAAAGTGAACACTGCGCCGGTTCTGTACAACGTGGGCCCATTCCAACTGCAGATTCGCAGATAGTGGTCCTTTATACGTTTGCGGAATCTGGAGACGAAGTCTTTTTTCTCCTGTTAATCATAAATCCGCAGCCAAATTCAGGTCTCGTTTCATGGCAGATATAATACAGGGCGTAATCATCTGATTTACTTATGCCAGTCCCTTTCCATCGCATTTCCTGTAAGGCAATAATATAGGCTTTGTACTTCTTGAGTACATCCGCCAAAGCGAACACTGCGCCAGTTCTGTACAGCGTGCGCACATTCCAAGTGCAGATTCGCAGATCGTGGTCCTTTATACGTTTGCGGGGCTCGTCAACATTAGGTGGGTTTGGTTTTCTTTTTCTTTGCTTTTTAATATAAGGTTCGGTTTTCCGAGTGTGGGCAACTAACCCGACGCCTCAACCAATTTTTTATAGTTCTTATGGGTGAACACGCGGCACATATTACTTCACTACTTCATCAGGTGATGAAAACAGGTACCCCAGGTCGCACCATGAGTATGTCAGTGTCCACAATTGAAATGAAAGAGGGACCAAGATAAGCCTGGACTTCGACATGTTATAGCCAATCAGAACCGTTGCGAGAATATTAGGGGATGCTCCATCATCCCCTAATATTCTCGCCTTGTTTTAGGCCTTGAAAAAATATTCTTTTAAAAATCTTTCAAAAATCCACGCCTTGTTTTAGGCTTTGAAAAAATATTCTTTAAATAAGTTCAATCTTTGAAAATGCCCAAAAAATTGTGTTTCAAAGGTCCTCCTTTTAATTATTTTTATTCTATTGCTCATTTTTATTTTTTCATATTTAAAATTTCATTCAACTACAGCGAGTATTCCAGTTTTTGTTTTTTTCAGTTACTATCCACAGGAATTTCTTCGCATCAAAGTGACTGAAACTAAGAAATAAATTACGTTCAGTGTCATGACGTCTCTGCAAGTGTGTGTGTGTGTGCGTTTGTGGTTTTGTTTTATGGTTAAAAGTAAAGCAGGACATGCATGGGTGGCATGGGTACGTTAAAACCAGGACGGAATGGTTGCCTTGGCCTGGCTGGCGGGCATTGGAATAAAATACAAGTATTTTTAATTCCGTCGGGTTTATTTTTACTGCCAAACATTTGAATGCACACAAGAACAATACACAGGGAGCATGACTGACGATCATCAATGCAGAGGTTTAAGTAACGACAAAAACAACAGCACAGCAGTAAATAAACCAACAAAACATACCAAAAGGAATGACTAGGACGATTGCAGCAGCAGCACCACGACCACCACCACCACCAATGTTGTTTGTGACGCTTTTAAGTATTTTTCGCTTTCAAATATCGCCACATGAGATGAAATAAAATGGAAACAATAAAAAAGAAACAGCAGCGCAGGAACGCACCAACACACACACACACCCATACAACGAGACACCAAACTTATTCATCCAACTGAGAATTGGGAGCATAAAACATAAAAAACTCTGTGTCGTATACAGTTTCGCGACACGCTTTAGACATTTTGTGAATTGTTCTCCAGTGTTCCTTGTTTTTATTTTTCAACCAAAAAAGCGCACACACACAGCAACACACTCACATAGATGGTTTTATAGTTATTTTTTGATGTCCCCTTAAGCGACGCATCACAAAATTGCATCATTCCGTAGAACAAAAAAATGACAGCAAACACTCACACACACCATTGTAACAAACACAGCATGTATCAACAGAATGAATTATTCTGATAGTCTTGTTGTTGTTGTTGGGTTTGTTTTGTTAATATTTTCTACCACTTCAAGTGGAGAAGCATAGAGGCTAAGACGCACACACACACTCACGACAATGTCAACAGAGCCAACAAAACAGCAACAACAGATGGTGCTGGCATCAAGGGATCATTTGCATCAACGTCAACATTTGTCTGTCCAATTGTCCATGACGCCAAAATAATGGACAGTGGTTCTGAATGCAAGGGAATTACGAAAATTAAGACGAGAGAATGGACTTTTGTTAACTATGAAACCAGTGAAGGTGGTGTGGACCACTGGAAGTGACAAGACTATATCACCAATTAAAACTTATTACCAATTTCAATGTGCAAAAAGATTTTGGGAGTGAAAATCAAATTCATATGAGTTTAATCGATACAAAACTCAGGTTTATCGTATTCGAGATATAATGCGGACATGTTTGACAAAAATATTCCTAATAGGATTTTATTAAAGCCAGATCGCTCATTTGCTGCAGGACCGGTATAAATCAAAACTCGTAATTTTTGAGTTAATGACAATTGCCCTCTATTCGCACTTTATATTGTGTAAAAATTCAGATGAATATCTCTTACACACTCTAATTGAGAAGCTGTTGAATTTCATCTGTTCCTTGTAAGGTGTGAATCAATTGAAAACTTAAAACATATTTTCTGCATAATCGGTATTTGTACCTTACACAACGATGTTGTCAGTATATTATAGCTTTGTGCAGCCCCAAGAGTTTGTAACGCCGCGAAATATTGGTCCTAGGCCCACCTTTAAGTATAGTCATGCGTGTCCGTCCGCCCGTCTCTCCATTATAATTTATAAACACGATACAGGTTACAGTTATGAACCAATCGTCACAAAATTTTACATTTAGGACGGGTTCTAGCAAAAGACCACCCCTATTATTTTTTAAACATTATAAAATTTTGTAAAGAGAACGGGGTCTGACTATGGAATAAGCATGACTGTTTTAATGAATTTCAGGTATCTACCTATTTTGATTTGGTTATTATTAACATTGCCACACTAGAAGGCGGATTGCTATGAAATTTTACATAAGGTTCCGGAATTGATCAAGAAGGACACCTACTAATTTCGGTCATGATCTGATGATATTTTGGGGATGGAATGGACTAAAAACTTTTTCTGGGTTTCTAGTCGATCTAGAGACCACTACTGTAAGCCGAACATCACAAATTTTACACGGCGGAAGGATCTGGTCAACTATTTGTATTTTTTTGACACGTTTTTCAACCGAATTGGCGGTACCCCCCATCTCTGAACTAAAAATTATTTATATTGGTAGTCGGTATTTTACAAATATTGGACACGTTTCTCATTGGCTATCAAATTTTACTACGCAAAATTATCAATATTGATCCCCTTTTTAGTATAGTCCCATAAAACGTCGGCCTCAGTAATAGGTATGTTGAGAATTTTAATCAACTTTAACTTAAATTAACTTTTCCTCACGTCTTTTTCGTATATTCAAGGTCCTATCATAACATGAGTTTTCTCCTTGAAGCTCCCATTAAGTTTACATATTTTGAATTTCATTCTCATGGTGAAGACTATAAAAAGTTTGCCGGGCCGAACTAATTTTAAATCGTTGATTCTTATTATTGTATTCAATACGCAACGAAAATTCCTTTAAATTGAAAATATTTTGTGGAAGCCAAGTTTTCGACCAGCTATATTTTTTAAAACTAGAGCTTTGGAAAACTATTTTTCCGGTAATATAGACTTCTTCAAAATTCGGAATTATCAGAATCCCACTTGTTCCCTTAGTCGTTTTTAAAAGCAATAAAGTACTTTACTGGCTCCTTGACTTCAAATCGTCAAAAATATACAAATAATTGTGTTACTAGTTAGTTATTCTTAATTCTTAAAAAATATGTTTACTTTACCCTGCACCATAAGGCGGAAACTACGCAATTGTTTTAATTTGTCATTCCTCGAAATATTAATCGGATACCCTCTTATGGATTTCTCAAAGCATCGTGTTCTTACCCGTTTAATTGCTTTGGAAAGTTATTTTGTCTCAGTTAGGTCCTTTTTTGTCGACCTCTATTTTGTGATCCTGCTGGTTCCTGGTTCGTTGGATTGCACAGCTCGATGTTAATTACGCTGTTGGGCCCGAATATTCTATTTATGAATACTGCTAGCTTAATTGTGATGATGTTAGACACAAGCCAAGTTTCATAATCTATTTTATACAGGCTTCGTACATTTATACCCTTCACAGGGTATAATGTCTTTGTGCATATGTTTGTAACAGGCAAAAGGAAACGAGATAGACGCATGGTTCCTTTTGAGAATATGAATAGAATCACTTTCTGAGTCGATTATGCAGGTCGCATTTATGATCCGATTTGGATGAAATTTGGTACATGGCACTTATTTGGCTCAAGGACGAACCCTATTGAAATCGGAGAAAATCGGTTCGGACCTATACCGACATTTCTAAAAAGGGATTATGTAAACCATAATAAAGAATTCAGTAATTTTTAATGGATAATTATACACTGTGGCTAATTGAAATATCGATTTTAGACCCCATGTATCTTTGGATCAAATGCGCTTCAAAAAATTTAGATTTCATCCAAACTTTGTCCATCTTATTATTTCTTCCAATCGTAGTTCAAATTCGAAGATGGGGAATATCGGTCCACTTTGTCTGGAACCTCCATACAGGGACTAGGTCTTAATGCGGGTTATAATTCATTATCGAACCTTACGTTCTACTTTTTTATCTCGATATCCTCCGCAGGTTAAATGATTACATCAGAGTCTTAGAACCAAACTCAAAACGCAGAACAAATCAGATAACCATTGTAATATAAAAAAGGGGTTTATATGGGGACTACCCCAAAATGGAGGCGAATATTAATACTTTTTGGTAGGGAGATTTGGTACCATATACGACTACAAAATACCAATTTGCAACAAATTCGGTTGAAAAACGCGTTCATGAACCCCAAAATACTGAAAATTGGGGGTACCCTTATATGGGGGATATCCGAAAAAATTGACCTATATTCATATTTTTTTGTGGAGAGTTTAGGGACCTATTAAGAACTCAAAATACTAAATTACAGCTAAATTTGCAGAAAAATACGATAAAAATCCCCAAAAAATTAGGAGGTACCGTTATATGGGGGCTACCAAAAAAGTGGACCTATATTTATCATTTTTTGTGGAGACACTTAGTACCCAATAAGAACTCAATGTACCAAATTTCAGCGTATTCGGTTGAAAACCACGCTCAAGAACCCCAAAATACCGAAATTCGGGGGGTACTGTTATATGAGAGCTATACCTAAACGTGGACCGATAAATCCCATCTTCGAACTTGACCTGCCTGCAGACAAAAGACGACTCTATGCAAAATTTTGGCGATCTATCTCCATTCTTTTAGACGCTAGAGTGATTACAACAGACAGACGGACAGACAGACAGACAGACGGACATGGCTATATCGTCATAGAATTTTACTCTGATCAAGAATATATATACCTTATAGGGTCGGAGATGATTATTTCAATGAGTTACAAACGGAAAAACAAAATTAATATACCCTCCATACTATGGTGGAGGGTATAAAAATATTCTAGGTAGGAAATGTAGCCAAATTATTAAAAATATATGTTTTGATAAGTATAAGTTAATATTTAGCGGCCAAATGATCAAGACTTTTGTGTGTAAAATAACAAAATTTTAATTTTAATGCGTAAATTTTCACTCCAGAGAAACATGATTTGGAAAATATGCAAGGGTAAAAGAGAAGAATTGTTGATCTGTTTCAAATTTTACGAAATATAGCCTAGGCGCGGAGAGTTCAGTGGTAGCTGTGGTCGGTCCCGTTCGACAATACAGCTTCGCTCACTGGTTTTAATTTCCTAATTTCAAATACATCGATGATACTTCAAAAATGTCACATTATTTGACAAGAAGAATTTTGATTCCAATTATAAACTCATTACGACAACTGTCAATCACTGTGCCATGCCACCAAAAATGAATAACCATTAATATGGAACGGAACGAAAACAAACGGAATGACACACGCTGGTTTACTTTGATCTCGGTACTTCGTTTGCTGCTTCTAGTAATGACAGTGATAAAATGTTTTGGTTCTCTTTCGATGGTTTGTTTTTGTTTTATGAGTTTTTTGTTTGTTCTCGAATTCATGGAGTGTTCTCATTACTTCACAGGGACACACAATGCACATACATGCGCTTTTGGTGTGTGTGCATCTGTCTGTATATATGTTTGATCTAAAAGGCAACAAATCCTGTACAACATTCCCATACAAAGAACCATAAACGTCACAAATTAAATTCCACTTTCATTTTGTAAAATTGTCATTTATCTCCTAAGACAATGCCATCAGCAGTGCAGGGTGGTATGTATAGTGGCTGTATGGTTGCATTCATTACTCCTGCTCCATTGGTTCAATCGTGTGGTGGTGTTGTATGTCACTGACGCGAAATTCTTCAACAAGCAAACCATCACCACCAGCAGCATCAGCACAGAAGATAATTTTGTACCAAAGCAACAAAGATTCCAAGAATGTTTTGGATAGGTGGAGAGTGGTCCTCATCCATTGTAGGTGACTGTATTAGAAGTTCAGCCTTTTGACACAGCTTGACTGGTTTGCTATTGACATTCATTTATGCGACACAGAATGGATGGATGTTCCTGGCCAACTTGTTTGTTTATGGTGTAGTTGTTGTTGTTGTTCAGTTCGACAAAGACATTCCATTTTAGGATATGAGCTTGTCGCATGCACCAGGAATCTAAACCTGGTATGTTCGATGTCATAGAATTTGGTCACAAAGATTTGCTGGGTTCATTAAAAACGAAGCTAAAATTTAGAAAGTGTCATGGATTGACAATGAATGAAGCACTTGTGAGTTCAAAGGATTAATTTAGATTGCCGGAGAATTGTGAAGACTGATTGGAATAATCCGATGTTTAAAGAATATTTTTTCAAGGACAATATTCTTTAAACATCCACACCTGTTTTAGTCCTCGAAAAAATATTTTTTAAACATCCACACCCTGTTTTCGTCCTTGAAAAAATATTTTTTAAACATCCACGCCTGTTTTAGTCATCGAAAAAATATTCTTTAAACATCCACGCCTATTTTAGTCATCGAAAAATATTCTTCCAAAATCAACGCTTTGTTTTAGACCTTGGAAATATTTTTTCAAATCCACGCCTTGTTTCAGACCTTGGAAATACTTTTTCAAATCCACGCCTTGTTTTAGGCCATGAAAAATATTCTCTTAAAAGTCCACGCCTTGTTTTAGACCTTGAAAATATTCTCTTAAAAAATCCACACCTTGTTTTAGGCCCTCTAATAATAATCATTAAAAAATCCACGCCCTGAAAAAATATTTTTTAAAAAATCCACACCCTGAAAAAATATTCTTTAAACAATCCACGCCCTGAAAAAATATTCTTTAAAAAACCCACGCCCTGAAAAAATATTCATTAAAAAATCCACGCCCTGAAAAAATATTCTTTAAAAAATCCACGCCCTGAAAAAATTTTCATTAAAAATCCACCACCTGAAATTATATTCTTTAAGAAATCCACGACCTGAAACAAATATTGTTTAAAAAATCCACACCCTGAAAAAAATGTCCTTTAAAAAATCCACGCCCTGAAAAAATATTCCTTAAAAAACCCACGCCCTGAAAAATATTCATTAAAAAATCCACACCCTGAAAAAAATATTCTTTAAAAAATCCACGCCCTGAAAAAATATTCTTTAAAAATCCACGCCCTGAAAAAAATATTCTTTAAAAAATCCACCACCTGAAATAATATTCTTTAATAAATCCACGACCTGAAACAAATATTCTTTAAAAAATCCACGCCTTGTGTTAGGCCCTAAAAAAATATTCTTTAAAAAATCCACGACCTGAAACAAATATTCTTTAAAAAATCCACGCCTTGTGTTAGGCCCTAAAAAAATATTCTTTAAAAAATCCACGCCTTGTGTTAGGCCCTAAAAAAATATTCTTTAAAAAATCCACGCCTTGTGTTAGGCCTGTTGTAAATATTGAATGTCCACGTTACGCACTTCCAACACACAACATACATGCGTGAGTAATTGCGATGAGTTCGCCTAGTGTGACCTACACACAAGTTTGTAAATAGTCGTAGCAATAAGTTTTCTTGTATAGTGTGTAAGCTATTGATAGTCACTCTCAATAAAGCCGCCAGCCAGAGCACAAGTGCCTTTCCTTTCATCCACTAACAGAAGAAGTTATAATACTTTCAATAGGTTATGGGCCCAGGAGGACTCTAGGTAGAGCAAGAAAATCCAATCATGGCATAGAAGCAGCTAGAAAAGAAGGATCACTCGGAAGGAGAAAATAAAATACAAAGTGAGTAGTAACCGGCAGGCTTCTGGAGAAGTGTGTCCCTCCAGCAGATCATGGTTGTTCGTGTGTCGAAAACCAGCGATTGTGTTACTTGTGTGTCAGTAACACATGGCCCCGGAAAGAGTGAATCCCATGGAGACTAGTGGATTGTGTGAGTCCAATGGTAAGCTGTGTATCGGCAACCAAGGCAGCTCGTTGCAGTGTGTTTGGACTACACAAGGAAAGGAAGACAGTGGAAAGTGACCGATCTGTGTGATCGAAGTGTGCAAAACAAAAAGGGCATTGAGAGTCATTCCAGTTTGTATAACCGAGTGTCGGGTACGTTATGTCGTATGTCGACAACGTACGCAACTGGAATCATGCATGTGTTGCATTGGAATTGTCAGAGGACAATTATGGCTGGAATAATCTGCGAGTGAAATCAGTGCTGGTCCACCAAAGAGTTTGGGAGGTGATTTCCAAGAAAACTCAAACGATGAGTAAGTGGCAACAACAACAGAAGGGTGCGAATGCCAAGGCGCACAAAGAAAATTCAGCAACAAAAACAACGCAGGTAGTGAGAAAATAGTTCGCGCACAAGTAGTGGCAGCAGAGACTGCAGGCAGCGAAAAAGGTCGAGCATAGAAATCCCCACGACAACAACAATGCAAGCAAGTGTACCTGCAAATCAATGTAATGACGGTTGACAGTGAGCGGTGAAGATGTCGTGAAGAAAATAATGCGCAGTTATACGACGAGCAAAAAGAGTTTGCTGACCGCAAGAAGGGGAATTGTTTTTGTGAGATGAATGTGTTTATGCCGAGAACAATAACAATTCAATGAAGTGCCAATACCGTTACGGTCCAACTGATGGGGAGAGCCCATGACGAACGGTATCGAATGTGTTTCGATGATATAAAGGCACAGTTAGGTCAACTTTTGTCGAACCCGTGGAGGGGGACAAGATGCAGGAGGAGAAGAAAAATACTGTGTGTATTTATGAATTGTAATGTGTTTACAAATTTTGAAATTGAAATAAATAAATTGATTTTGGAGAGTTTGATATTGGGCATGTATGTATGTGTGTTGAGGAGGAGTGTTGTAAATATTGAATGTCCACGTTACGCACTTCCAACACACAACATACATGCGTGAGTAATTGCGATCAGTTCGCCTAGTGTGACCTACACACAAGTTTGTAAATAGTCGTAGCAATAAGTTTTCTTGTATAGTGTGTAAGCTATTGATAGTCACTCTCAATAAAGCCACCAGCCAGAGCACAAGTCGTTTTCCTTCATCCACTAGAAGCAGAACAAGAATAATACTTTCAACAAGGCCCTAAAAAAATATTCTTTAAAAAATCCACGCCTTGTGTTAGGCCCTGAAAAAATATTCTTTAAAAAATCCACGCCTTGTTTTAGTCCTCCAAAAAATATTCTTTAAAAAATCCACGCCTTGTTTTAGGCCCTGAAAAACTATTCTTTAAACATCCACGCTTTGTTTTATGCCTTGAAAAATACCCCTTAAAAATCCACGACTTGTTTTAGGCCTTGAAAAAATATTTTTTAAAATTCCACTTTTTTCCAACAATTTTTAAATAGAATATCAAAAACCGTTAATAATTTCCTTCCCATTATTATTCCAAATATTACTTCAATTTCCCTTCCTACCCATCTCCACCAATCAATCCAATTTCAATGCATAAATTATTTCATCACTTCTACTCCACTTCCATTTCAATTCTATTATTAACCAAAACAAAATCGATAAACTTCAAAAATACTTACTGTATGCGGCACATGGTATACCCGTATAGGCGTGGGCAGCATGCAGACATCGATGAGTTCTGGTCGTACACTGTAATGCCTTCTCATATGAATTATAATCAGGACTTAAGCGACGTTCCGCCTGCAGAAAGAGAACAACACATACACAAACATTCAAATATATACATATATGGAAATACCAAACGGAAGGAAATAACAATCATTGCTTTAAAGCGAATTAATTGAAGATGAAACAAAAAATTCCGAAACAACAAAATAAAAGTCAAAAAAACGAATTTCCCAATAAATCCACTACAAGAAAATATGCATTTCCCCCCCTTCACTTACCTCGTCATAAACTTCATTGATATTCTGGAAATTATATGTTCCCGGTTTCTGTAATGCCTTTAGTGTTTCGTAAAGGAACAGTTCGAAATTCTTAAAGGTATATTCGCTGAATGTGTAACGACGCAGCCGGGTGCCTGTCTCACCGCCCAGGGCGGCACATGATTTGTGATAATCGTCAACGGCGCGTTTTACCAAAACCGCTTCGTTAAGTTTATTCGAACGTATTTGCAGTGATTTCAACTCGAGCAGATGTTGGAAGATCTTACGCTCCATGTAATACCTGTAGGGGTAGATGGAAGAAATAAACAACAACAACAAGAAATAAATGAGTGTGAAACAAATGAAGAAGAAAAAAACGACATGTGAAAAAAGTGTTACAGGAAGAACATAAAAAACCGTAAACTCAATGAACAATCAACCGCATCGATGACGTTGTGAGTTAGTTAGTCATAAATGTAATTGCTAACAGTTGGGTGGAAAAGTTTGTGTTGCGTCGTTCTTCATATTAGAAACTAATTTATATTCAAAAAACGCAAACTATAACTCAATATTTTTCCATATGTTAATTTCCAGAAAAAGTTTGGTGCACAGTTTACCTAATATCGGACGAAACTGTATATGGGAGCTATATCTAAATTTGAACCGATTTCAACTTCATCAAGCTTGACCTAATTCAGTACGCTATGCAAAATCTTGTCTCAATCGGACAAATATTGTAAGTTTGGTGCACAATTTATCTAAAACCGGACTATACTATATATGGGAGCTATATCTAAACCTGAACCGATTTTCACAAAACTTCGCACACATCAAACTGGGCCTAATCTAGTACGCCGTTCAAAAATTTTTCTCAATCGGACAAATTTTGCGAGTTTGGTGCACAATTTACCTAAAAGCGGACGAAACTAGATATGAAAGCTATATCTAGATCTGAACCGATTTTCTTCAATTTCAAAAGGGTTCGTCCTTGGACTAAATAAGTAACCTCTGTCAAATTTCATCCAAATCGGATCATAAATGCGACCTGTACTTTGCTCACAAAAATACGTGGACGGACGGACGGACAGACTGTCATGCATGAATCGACTCAGAAAGTGATTCTATGTATATTCACAAAACGAACCATGGGTATATTTCATTTCCTTTTGCCTGTTACAAACATATGCACAAAGATATACCCTGTACTACAGAGTAGCGAAGGGTATAAAAAAGCATATTAATACATAGGGCGACGTTATATCCAATTAAAAGCCAAATTAAACAAGTGAAAAAAGCGTTAAGTTTGGCCGGGCCGAACTTTGGATACCCTCCACCATAGGTATACTAACAGAAAATATAGGGTACATACCCAAAAGTGGACCTATACCGAAAATTCAATGTACACCAAATACAAATTTCAGCAATTTTTAATGGATATTTTTCCTAAAAACCCCAGAAAGTGGTCCGATATTGACGACGCATGGTAGGGTGGAACATCCCCAAAATAATGCAATTAAGAGATAACAGTTATATAAGACCATCACCAATATACACAGGTTTTATTTCGGCCTAATTGAGAACAGATATAGATCTATTTCGAAACTAACATTTTTGCATCAGAAAACATTTCTTTACGCTAAATATTAAAAATACCGAAAATCGGTAGGTAACAGTATATGGGGGCTTGGCCTTAATGTGGACTATAGTGAAATAATTATTACAGAGTCTTAGAACCAAACCCAAAACGCGGAATAAATGAGATAACTATTTTAATATAAAAAAGGGGGTTATATGGGAACTATCCCTAAAAGGGGGTGAATATTAATAATTTTTGGTAGGGAGATTTGTTACCATATACGACTACAAAATACCAAATTACAGCGAATTCGGTTGAAAAGCGCGCTCAAGAACCTCAAAATGCCGAAATTTGGGGGGTACCCTTATATGGGAGCTATGCCTAAACATGGACCGAGATAACGCCCATCTTCGAACTTGACCTGCCTGCACATAAAAGACAATTCTATGCAAAATGTTGGCGATCTATTTCAATTCGTTTAGAGGCTAGAGTGATTACAACAGACAGATGGACATGGCTATATTGTCATATAATTTATATACTTTATAGGATCGGAAATGATTATTTCGATGAGTTACAAACGAAAGAAGTCCGTCTTGGAATCTTTGTCCTCTGACCTTTCTGTAAAAAACACTTAAATGCGAATATAGGCACATAAAATAATACTCGACACTCATTGGGTGTCAAATCATTTGTACAAAAAAAAAAAAAAAAAACAAATATAATCTGTCAGCATTTTTGTATATCTCCCGTATAATAGTATTACCCCATTTTCGAGAATTTAACCGTGCTGTAATTTACTTTCCTGATTTCAAGTGGTGTAATTTACTTTCCTGGCTTCGATCTATCCCAAGTAAGTAGCCGATTTTATCCAAACATCCCAACAAAATTCTCAAAACTGGGCTAACAATTTATTTCATAATACAGTGCGGAAAAAACATCTGATTAAGAGGATCTCTCTGCGTCCCGGCCTTTCTCGGTTTCAAAAAATCGTTTTTTTTTTATTTTTTTATAATATGAACCTACAACTTTTCATTGCGAGTTCAAGAGATCATCCCAACGACTCCTGAAGATATAGCCGATATTTTATGTCAGCAACAAGCGACGACAAGAGTGCTTCTCAAACTTTAGTAGGATTCAGGCAAGGTGACAGTTTGTCGTGTGATCTTTTTTATAACCCTCCTGGAAAATATCATACAAGATGCAAATGTGAACAGAAATGACACTCTGTAAACCAAACAGCAAATGTTACTCTCCTACGACGATGCCATCGACATAATGGATCCAATTTTGCGAGCGGTAACATCCACCTTTGAACGAATTGAGAAGGAGCCTACCACGAAATAAGGCCACCTTTCGCCAAACCAAACTCACACTCTTCATGACTCTGACAAGCATGAGACGTATCGAGCTGCAGCGAATACGGTGCCTAGGTCATGTGGTGAGAATAGATGAGGACGTCTCAGCTCAAATGTGATATAAAAGAGAGCCAACTAATGGTTCACGCCGAAGGGGAAGGCCACAAATTCGATGGAAATATCAAGTGGAAGACAACATTTCGAAGGACAATGTATAATATACCTTCAGCCATTTAATATGACGCATCCGATCCCAATGAATATTGATTTACATCAAATTTGTTTATTAATATTTATATTAGCTTCGATATAACCACTCTAAATAGTATACGTCACATTACAATCCATTTCCGATTATGATTATTTATTATGCTTTTTTACTACTTTCAAGTTTTCCATAATCCATCCAAATACAACATATTTTTACGTTATATATTGAATAACATGAGAAATCGATAATAATATTTTATTTCCGAGGAACATATATTCCCGTACATATACTTTTTCTAACAACTGTTTTTAAAAAAAACTTTGTCTCTCCTCTGGAATAAAACAAAGAGAAAAAATACCACCGATAGCGAATAAGAATATGTGGCAGGTAAAACAATTTCATATGAACAAGCTGGTTTGGTTGGTTGTCTGTATGCCTGTCTGTTGGTACGGTATTGATGTGGGGGCATGTGTTGCTTTTAGATCCTTAAGGCGGCACACCATACATTCGGAGTAAAACGAATGAATATGGCAATGAATGAATGAACAAACGAATGAGTGATATTTGCACACACATGTGGCAGTTGGCCCAAAGGCAAAGGAAATGGTAAGAAACTTTGTTTTGAGGTACTTTTCAATATGTCGATGTACAATCCTTTTTTCCTTTTTGTTCACTTTTTTGTTTTTACTTCTTTTTTGCAACAGATACTGCTGCCATTTTTCATGTGATGGGACAAAAGGAAATTTCACAGACACCAACAGTCGCACACACACTCACCACACATACACACATCCATTTTTTTGCCTTTAAAGGTGCGAAATAGGGTATCTCAGTTGTTGTGCAAAACGTAAATGAAGTAGAATACGAAAGAGAAGAAGACGAAGAACAAAAGAGAATCAGGAAAAAAGTGTTGGCATTCTGTAATCGGTGGTTATAACTTACAACATGCTGAGCATTGTCGTATTTTTCCTACAGTTTGTTTTCCTTCCTCCCGACTCCCAGCAGTCCAGCCCCGTGGTGGTGGTGCTGTTTTACTATCCTGAAATTGGTGTTGACATTCGAAAACGCAAATGTGAATGTAATATTTGAATTATGGGCCAGAAAAGAAATGAGGCGAAAATAAATGTGTGTCAGTTGGAAGGTGGTGCAGGAAGCCTTTCATGGGAAGATCTTTAGTAAATTAAATTGGGGTTATTTAAAACTGATAAACATTAAATTGAGAAATTGAAAGGTTTGATCTAAAAAAGAAAGTGGCATGGTTTCTTAAAGAAATATTTTTCAAGGACGAATACAAGGCGTGGATTCTTAAAGAATATTTTTTTAAGGACCAACACAAAGCGTGGATTCTTCAACAATATTTTTTCAAGGACCAACAAAATGCGTGGATTCTTTAAGAATATTTTTTCAAGGACCAGCACAAGGTGTGGATTCTGGAAGAAAATGTTTTCAAGGACCAACACAAGGCGTGGATTCTTAAAGAATATTTTTTCAAGGACCAACACAAGGCGTGGATTCTTAAAGAATATTTTTTCAAGGACCAGCAAAAGGCGTGGATTCTAAAAGAATATTTTTTAGAGGACCAACACAAGGCGTGGATTCTTCAAGAACATTTTTTCATGGACCAAGATAAGGCGTGGATTCTTAAAGAATATTTTTTCAAGGACCAAAACAAGGCGTGGATTCTTAAGAATATTTTTTAAGGACCAATACCAGGCGTGGCTTCTTGAAGAATAATTTTTCAAGGACCAACACAGGGCGTGGATTCTTAAAGAATATTTTTAAAGAATATTTTTTCAAGGACCAAGATAAGGTGTGGATTCTTAAAGAATATTTTTTTAAGGACCAAGATAAGACGTGGATTCTTAAAGAATATTTTTTTCAAGGACCAAAACAAGGCGTGGATTCTTAAAGAATATTTTTTTCAAGGACCAAAACAAGGCGTGGATTCTTGAAGTATAATTTTTCAAGGACCAACACGGGGCGTGGATTTTTAACAATATTTTTTCAAGGACCAACACGGGGCGTGGATTTTTAACAATATTTTTTCAAGGACGAACACAAGGCGTGGATTCTTAAATAATATTTTTCAAGAACCAACAAAAGGAGTGGATTCTTAAGAATATTTTTAAGGGCCAATACCAGGCGTGGATTCTTAA